TATCATGCCGTCATGAAAGAACAGCTTTTTTGTCGGTGTCTGTCGCTGGAAGTCACTGACCAAGCACCGTTATTGGACGACTGTGGAGTGAGACCGGGTTGTTCCTGTATGAGTGTTGAGCCAAACTCTGCTGTGTTTTTTTAAACCCAACCATCAGCTTTTGTTGCACAGTGGAATAAACATAAATACGAGGTGTTTTCCCAATGTTATAAGTTTATTGTGGTGTGGTGGTTGGTTAGCTCCGGTGTGTTGAATGTGGAGTGAGCACTGTACAGCCTTTTAAATGTTACATCACTTGTTTTCAATCAGTATTATAACCAGTAATAATTTCGGAGGCAGTTTGAGTAGTGGTTTGCACTGTTGCCTCACAGCAGGAAGGTTCCCGGATCGAACCTGTGGGCCATCTGGGGCCCTTCTGTGCGCAGTTTGCATATCCTTCCTGTGTCAGTGTGGGTTTTCTTCAGCTTCCTCCCACAGTCTAAAAACACACGAGTTAGGTTAATTGGAGACTTTAAATTCGACCCTGTGTGCTCACATTCATTTACACACTAGTTGCTTTAATGAAATCTCCTCTCGTCTGCTGTTTCCACCACTGTTTCGGGAGAAGGAAATAATGAGAGAAGGAGCCAACCAGCTCTAAAAGTGACTTATTTTCTTTTTAATAAGTGCTGTGCAGTAGATATAGTTCATGTGTATGTGATGAGAGGTTCATGTGGACTGTGGACTGATAAATATTTGGAAAATAACTTATTAATATTTAAAGAAACTTTAAAGAACTCCCTGGCCCATCCGCCAGGCCGAAGCAGTCGATAGGGGAAAAGCTGAATTCCAAGTATGTTTTAATGTGTATTAGATTCACCACAGGCTGAAATCCACGCGGTAACGTCAGCAGGGTCGCTGCTGGGTGCTCTAAGCACAATGCCTTTGTGCAATTTGCTCTTTCCAAATTGGAGGTCCAATCCTCTCAAATAAACAAAACAGAAAAAATATATTTACATTATAAATGTTATAAATAAGGCGCCTGAATGAGACATTAACAGTAGGATAAACAACGCTCCACCCGCCTGAACACCAGTGCAGGCCAGGTACCCCCCTCATGGCAGCGGTATTCCCCAGTAGCATTGCTCCCCAACAGTGCACCATGCCACACCACAGATCTGCTCAGGAGTGGCCAGAACCTGACGGAGAGCTCAAGGCATCGACCTGGCCTCCAAATTCCCCACATCCCAGTCTGATCAAATATCTGTGGGACGTGCTGGTACTCCACCTCACAACTCACGGGACCCAAAAGATCTGAAGCCAACACGTTGGTGCCAGACACCACAGGACACCCTCCAGAGGTCCTGTGTCCATGCCTTGACAGGTCAGAGCCAAGTCCGGTTCAAGGAGGCCCCACCATGGATTGGGGGTACCTCTGGGGTACTTCTCCCGTTCCTGGAGTCCGCCCCAGTGCATGCTGGGGGTCACAGTGTGATGGAGCCAACAGAACCACATCATCTGCAAAGAGCAGAAATGCATTTCTGAGGTCACCAAACAGCACCCCTTCCTCCCCCCAGCTGTACCCTGAGATCCTGTCCATGAATGTCACACACAGAATCTGTGACGAGGGACAACCCTGGCAGAGGAACAACACCCACTGAGAACATGTTTGACTTTGTGCCAGGTATGCAGACACAGCTCTCACTTTGTTCATGCAGGGACCGGGTGGCTTTTATCAAAGACCCTGGTATTCCCACAGTGCCCCACAGGACTGCCCCACAGGACTGCCCCACAGGACTGCCCCACAGGACTGCCCCAGGGATGCTGTCCTAAGCTTACTCCAAGTCCTTGAATAGGCAAACTCTCACAACCCCTCCAGCAGCCCTCCTAGGGCATCTGATCGGGATCCTCCTGTTGGAGGTGTTCTTGGCACGTCCAACTGGTAGGAGGCCGCGTGGCTGACCCAGATCACACTGGAGGGATTGTGTATCTCATCTGGTCTGGAAACACCTCATGATCCTCCAGGAGGAGCTGGAAGGCATCGCCAGGGAGAGGGACGTCTGGGGTATTTTGCTCAGCCTGCTGCCCGCGAGACTTGACCCCGGAAAACTGGATAAAAATGGATGGATGGATGGATGGTATATGGATGATTATATTGGGCTATTTTGGTGCCCTACACACAGCGCAAGCTGCGTGTGCCCTTCATGGTGGCGCTGAAGGTCAGCATCAGCTCTGATATTAATCTGATTGGTGCATTCCTGCAGTGATAAGGCTCATTTATTCTCCCTTCATGTACAAAAATGGTTGGGTTTAAGACAAAAAAAATGCGTTTCACTTTACAGTCTTACAGGAAGTGAACACTGGCCTCCTGGATGAAAGTCAGTGGTTGTTGGACCCATCCACCACCTCTCCCACCTGCCCTACTTGGACTTCTGCTCCCTTAATGTTGGTTGGTGTCCCATTGCGTTTCCTCCTGATGCCGCCGGACCGGCCACGTATCATGCTGACGTATGTCACTGGCCAAGCACCAGTTTTCAACAACTTCGGAGTCATGCTTGCACTGATTTTACCAAATGCAAATGAAATAACGTGGGCACATCAAATTTGAAAAGCAGTTTGGTAGAGAGATTGGAAACAAACTCTTACTATCCTGAATTAAAAACCTTGAACCTGTGGTGTTAAATTAAATCAAACTTTCTTCCACACTACCAAACCAATTATTTTAGATTTTTTAAACACATATCTGAGATGCACACGCTGCCCAGCCTCGGCCCGAGGACACTCGAGATCTTTCCAATCACACAGTAATTCAGCCATCGTCAGTCACCACCCTGCAACCCTTAATGACTCAAATCATACAACCCTCCACCATGAGATTACATAACACTTGTGGCAGACGGAATATAATCAACAGTTGTAGAGCTGCATTGATCAAATAAGGAACCCAGAAGGGAAACAAGGCCGTGTCACATCTGAGCACTTCCTCTCCTTAATCCCTAAACCCTGAAATTCTCCTGGATTACTTTAAGCCACACAGTATACTGAGACGCACAGAGGCCATTAGAAGGAGGTGATCATTGGGGACGAGGTAATCTCATATGAATATATGAATATCTCCTTACGGCTGCAGCCTGACAGCAATTAGAGCCTCAGCTCACTCTCCCCTCCGGGAGCAGATCAGCCCAGCCTTGTGCTTTTTGATTGTGAGGCTTTGATGAGCCAAATCCACTGCACACGACACGCGCCCCCTGCCACAGTCTCATCGTGGAGGCAGGGGCTGGTGCTCTCTGTCTTCCTCCACTGCCTGCAGGGTTTTATCAAGGCAAGGTGTTCGGTGTGCCGATCAAAGCCCTCCTTTCACCGCACACTCCAGCACGTTCACTTGTGGCTGGATTATTGATATGATGATACCCGGGTGCCTTCCTCGGGCTTATTGGCTCGTTAAAAAGGGGTTTTTTTGCTGTTCCGTTGCTGGAGGGAGGAGTTACGCACTGATTGATTTCCAGACCGAGCCGACATAGTGCATCACGTGGAGCAGAGCAGGAAAGCCCATGGTAACCTAATAACGTCCTCCCCACAGTAAACGGCGATAACTGCGTTATGTAACGGCAGTGGCGGCCTGTTTTATGAGAGTCAGCAGGGTACGCAGTCTGCTCGTTAAAGGACTCGAGTGTGTTGAAAACCTTGTTCCCTCCGTTTGTCCCCGTATTGTTTTCTAACATTAAAGCTTTTTCCTCCTTTTCCCTTTTTTCTCTCGACACTGGGAAAATCCAGACCTTTGTACTTCTATCTGAGCGCTCGGCTCGGCTCCACAGACGTGTGTATTAAAACCTTATCAGTGGCGAACTTCCAATCCCTGTTCAATGAGAGCGTTTAGACACTCGCCTCTTGACATTTTCATCACTTTTAGAAAAGGGTCTCAGGCTTCTCTTCTTGGCTCAGCGGTTGTTACTTGTGATCTTTATTTCAGGATTTCCACCATCAATAATGGATGTTCTGTTGGTTCGAACATACTTTTAAATGCAAATACAGAGTGTTGAGCTTTTTTTTATTATTGAAGTGAGAGCAGACATGGCAGGTGAGGCAAGACAGAACTTAATACATCAGGTTACATGACAGACGGGGCGACAACGCCATCAAACACAATCAAAGGTTACATCTCATGCTGGGTGTATTAGAGGGCGGGCAGGCCAGTCTGCTGTGTGGGTTTCCTCTGTGTGTGTGTGTGTGTGTGTGTGTGTGTGTTCTATACATGAAAAATAGAATTAATAATAAAAATAAAGAGATCACAAAATAAAAATTCCTGGCAAAGTGGTGGTGAAATCACGGGTCCCATCATTTGGCTCCTGTTTCATCTTCATCTCAGAAGCTTTAAATGTTCCTTCTTCTTCCAAACTCATATTTTGGTGTGTGTTGTGTGCGACGGAGGTTTTCCTCCCTCAGCCACCCCTGGGTCCTGGGGAGGACGCTGGCTGTTGGACGTTGCATTACAGCGCTCACTGGCTCATCTTAAACAGCCCTTTTTTAATTAGGACATGAGGCCACTCCAGCCAGGAAACAGGGAGAAGAGATGAAAGCAAAAAAATACTCAGGGGGCTGATGCTGCATGCTTACAGATTCTGGCTGAGGCCAGGAATAATGAAGAGCATAATAATGATAATAATAACAGAGTAATAATGACAGAGAGGGCAACAGCATGAAGAAAAATAAAAATTAAAGCCTCAGGCAGCATTAATCAGGTCCAGACAGACTGCAAGCGTTTCAATCAGGAGAGACTCGTTTTTATAGCAAAAAGAATATTTATTAACGTGTGCACATAAGGATGAAAAATGTGGAAAGTCTTTGGTGATTAGACCCCATGGAGATGGTTTATCTTTAAGGAGAGTGATGGATCCGTAGTCCCCACAGGGTCTTGACGCTGGTGGTGGTCGAGGTGGTGAAGATGAGATGAGACGAAGATGTAGAGAAGTTTGCTTCATGCACACTTTGAATGTGTCAATGTTCCTCTTGCTTTGTTTCAGATGCTGACGACTCCGGCTGTGTGTTACTGAACACATCAAGAAAGGTAGGAATAAATACTGCATTACATTTCATCTTAAAATAATTATTATAAAAGTGATTTTTTTTTGTTTATCAGAGAACTAAACATGTTGCTGATAATGAGCGCAGCCACCTGTCAGAGCAGCTCAGCTTGATTCAGAAATCTGACTTCAGACAGAAGATCAAACCTCTACAGCTCAAACCTAGAAGAATAAATCACAGATAAAAGTGCACACTATCAAATATTTACACAGCAACACACACACACGAGCTCTAAAGTTTGCTTCATTTGAACATAAAGTCCAGTTCAGACCAAAGATGGGTGACGAGATGAAACCATTTAAGAACGTCACAGAGAAAAGTGTCAGCGGTGTGAACTGGCCGGTCTGAGCTCGACTCAAGCCGGCTGATGATGTCACCTGACACTCAGCTGGTCACATGGCGGGCTGCTGGTTTTAAAGCACGTCACCTGTTTCAACAGCCAATCAGCTTGTAGTGAAGTCAGCTGGTCAAGAGCCTCGACACCCATCAGAATCAGCTGTTTGAGAGGATAAAGACGTCTGCCTTGTGGTCACTCCTGAAGTCGACGACAGAAAGAGTTCCCCCTTCACACCACATGGGTGCTGCCTTCTTCGTATGTTTAATAGATGGGAGCTGAAGTGATTAAACAGGAGCAGTGAATAAAGACTAGAGAGAGTAACAGTCTTCCTCAGTCGTCATCAGTAACTTGTGCTACGCTGGACTCTTCTAATCAAGATTATTTTGGTTGAGTCATGAGTACGGTCTGATACCAAGTCCCAGGCTCCTCCTCGAGTTTCCCTTCATACTGTAACAGCCCACAGCTCCAACATGCTCAGCTGAAGCACACTGAGGTTTGTAAAACCAATCCAATTTATGTAAGATAAGCCTGACAAGTGAATAGCTCAGCTGTCACAGTGAATATCTTCTGTGGAGCTGCTGTCTGCTGCTGTTTATCTGCTCAGGCAGCCCGACTGTTTGCCCGCTCACATTGCTCCATGTTAGGGCTTCTGCTGGGTGACCCAAGGCAAAGTGACGATGATGATGGTACCTATACAACACAGCAGGCGGAGGTTTCTGGGGCGTACATGAGGGACACGTGCCCCCCAGTATTCACAACACTTGCATTTGTCCCCCTGAACAAAAACACGACAGTAGCAGAGCTCTTTGATTCTGAACAACCACAGCGTGACTCATAGATACAACAACCCCTGCGGTGACGTTGGGGGCAGCAACCTCACAAACTGTGGCTCCAATCTGCCATCAAACAGAAAGAAGAAGAAGTGGGAGCTGGCTGCTCCTGGAGGACGAGTCCTGGGGAGGACTGGAGTAAACAGGGCGAGAGCTGCTCTGATACACTGCGCTGCAAATTAGTCCAAAAATAAGACGTTCTAGTTCACTGTAAACCCTCAGTCCATCCATGACGCTGAACTTTAATGTAAATTATTACAGTCTGGGATATGTCTGTGATTGGTGACAAAATTTATTTTGATGCATTTTTATTTTTTGTGCAATTTCAGATTTCAAAAATTAAAAAAAAATAAAAAGTCCCTCTCGACACCTTTGAGGATAAAAATGCCCCGTACTGAAACTGCCTTAAATTAATTTATGTTAATATTATTAATATTATTTTCTACGTTTACTGAGTTAAATTTTTAACCAACGTCATAACTACCAAATGTTTTCAGATTTCAGAATTTTAACCCTTTGAGTGCCAAAAATTAGCTTCAACAAAGCTTAGCTTAGCTTGTACAAAATGTGAAGCTGATATTTTTTATTGTCTGGGATTTGTCAGTGATAAGTAACAACATTGATACTGGTGCATTTTATTTTATTATTTCTTATGAAAAATGAAGGGTGAAGGGTGTGAGAGGGTGTTTTTTGGCTACGCTGTTTATTATTGACTTATTATGAGAGCTGAGGTTGAACTTCCAAAATTTGAAAGAAAACACACACGCTTACCAAAATGTTTGCCACACAGCCAAAGTTACTGAAAAAATAAAAATCAAAAGGACTAAAATTGTCCCAAGGTTGCGTAAGGGTTAATTTGACTAAAATTTGTAAAGCCAGTTTCACTTAATTAGTTTGCAGCCAATAAAAAACACTGTGATTGTTTCCCAGCGTTTAGAAACCTCAGCTCACGACAATATATTTTTAAAGCTCAATGAAATTAAATTGTTGTAAAATGTGTACTCGATGTTTTTATCTTCACACAGCAGAATTAAACACTCAAATAAGAACAACAAAGTTCTGTTACACTGACATAAACTTCCTGTCAGACAGGGTCATGTGACGTATTTATTTTGTCCCACACTGCACGCTCTACGCCACACCACCAGGCACCGTTAATCAAGAACGCCGACCATGTATCACGCCAACGTGGAAGCATGTTTTTTTTTCGTTGGTGTCTGACGCTTGAAGTGACTGACCACATGCCAGTGTTCTACGACTACGGAGTGAGACCAGGTTGGACATGTACACAGCTCTGGTCTGGGAAAGGAGTCTGTCGCCTGATAAGAACTGGTTTCCCTGTGTTTAAAATTCCCGTACATGCACTAACTTTGATGGAAAAGGGTGTGAAAATAATTAACTGTGACACTGAATAACAATGAACTATGTGAGTTCTGAGCTACAGAGGTGTGAGTTGAAGTTGAATTTAAAACAGTCTGCAGATTCAGTTGTGGTTGCTGAAGAGCCTCGGTCCGGCCACAGAGACCAAACGGAGTCAGAGGGACCGAGCAGAGCTCCATATTAACATATCAGACACTCAGGCCAGACTTTAAATCACCAAGTTGAGTGATTGAAAAACCAATAGCAGTATTTTACAGTCTGCTCTCAGTGACGGGACTTTAAAACAGGTGTAATGTGTCCTCTGCCTCTGGACACGGTCAGCGCAGCCTGTGTGCCGCTGCAATTTAGATCATCTGAATTTCCATGTCGACCAGACGAGAGTGTATTACAGTAATCAGGCCTGCTGGAGATGAAGGCGTGCAGACGTCTTCTCAGAGTCTGGGTTACACCGTGGGAATATTCCCCACATAATAATGTGTGGCTCAAAATTTAAATTATACCCAAACTCATGACGAAGGCCCATACAGCCCTGTCTATACGTGTCCAGATAGGTTTATTAACGGATGTTTTTCCTCTCCATTTTAAAAAAAATGTTGCTTTTAGTGACCTGAAACTCCTTTTGTGTGGACGAGAGGCCCAAACGTAGAGGAAAATATCTGTTTACAAGAGCACCTGTATAGACAGGGTCTGAGATGATGCTCCTCACTCTCTGAGCGTCTGCAGGAAGATCTGTCACATTAATGTGTTCATCAGTAACAGACTCTGTGAGATCTGAGCACAGGATCCATTAGTGAAAAACACTTAAAAAAACCCACTAAAACTGGACAATTTTATCCCCAAAGAAGCTTCAAGGACTCTGTTATGGACATTCTCACTGATACATGCAGCTGTTTGCACTAATACTCCCCATCCTGTGTCTGTCTGTCTGTCTGTCTGTCTGTCTGCTGCATCCTGTTGTCCCGTTCATATTCTTCTTCTCTGTCTGCTGTTTGGCGTGTTTGTCTCACTGCTGCTGCTGCTGTCTGCAGCTACCTGTCTGAGGCTCATGAGCTAACCTGCATGTCATCTATGTAGAGCTTGTTGTCACTGTAGTAGTGTTGGGAATGTCTGGATGTGCTGCTGTCCTTTATTTTGACTTTTCTAACAAGCCTCCACCTTCCTCCCTAAGAGGCGTTCGCTGTCACCAGGCTGCCACTGTAAATAAAAATTAGTTCTTAGTCCATAAGTCCAGTTTACATATATTTGAGTTATCTACAAGTTTACTGTACTGTTTGTCATCTACTCGCTTTCAAATGTCCGCCACGGACATTTACACAATGTCACGGATAAACATGGGTAAATGCATGAAAAAAAATCATCACATATCACCTCTGATAATGGTTTATTCATTTAAAAACACATTGTGCTCGTTTAGCACACTATTTCAAGTCGTTTTTATCTGCTGGAGGGTCGCGTAGGGGAGCGTAGCGCGACAAAAATAGAAGAGCCGCGTAAAATAGAGAGTTGTCGCGCAACAGACGGTGGTTGTCGCGCTGCTCCCGTTGCCGGTGGAGCCGCTGTAATTGATTAACAGGGGGGCGAGCTGCTACGGGACTCACGCTGCAGACCTGTTGCGCCGCTGACGTGCCCGGTGGAGCCCGGCCGTAATACTGCACAAGAATAAAAATGCATCAAAATCAATGTTGTGACATCACTAACATATCTCAGAAAAAAATAAATGAAAATAAATATCCCCCTCGAATTATGTATATGGAAACTAGTTCAGGTTTTTGGGGTCATTTTCATTTAAAAACATCATGGCAGCATGACAGAAACTGGCATTTAAAGGGTTAAAATGTAGAAAATGATTGAATATCTAGTTAGTTATTTTCAAAATTGAAGTTGATTAAAAGATTCAACACAGTGAACGTGGAAAAAATATTAATATATAGTATTTTTATAGCAGTTTTTGAAGCGGACATTTTTGTACACAAAGGTGTCAAGAGGGAGTTCTTTTCTTTTTTAATTCTGACATCACACAAAAAAAACAAAACAAAATTGCATCAGCATCAGTGAACACCGGCCTCTCAGGTAAAAGTTGGTGGTTGTTGGACTCATCCACCCTACTGGGCCTTTTGCCCCCTTACCTTACATTGTTGTCCCGTCACCTCTCCCTGACACCACCAGGTGCCGTCAAACAATAGTGGCGACTGGCTGCATGTCATGCTGACATGAAAGGACGGCTTAATTTTATTTAGATTTCTGACGCCGGAAAACACGGACCAAGTTTACGACGACTCCAGAATGAGACCTGTTCGTTACGTCACCTAATGTTGCACCATGAGCAGCAAACGTGTGCAGATAAAATACATTTAATCCAGCCAGTTTAAGCGTCTACATGGTTAGTAGGTGCTGATATTTTACTTCTGAACAGATTATTAAATGTTTAAACCACCACTCACAACCTGAAAATTCCCACCAATCAGGATCAGTTTCTTCCGGTAGAGGTGGTTACACGCTGTACAGCTGGTTATTAGTGGACCATCAGGCCCATGTGAACACACCTGTTGTGGATAATTCAGTTTTTAACGGTTGGACAAAATAAGACATTTGAAGACGTCCCCTCAGACTGTTTTTGTCCTCCTCTGTTATATGATGAGCATTATGAGAATGTTCTGACAATATATAGAGAACATAGATAGTTAATGAATTGACACAATAAATGGGAGGTTAATCAGTAATGAAAACAGACCCTTTTATTGTCTAAGTTCAAATTTAAAAACGACAATAAAAACCCAGAAACAAAACAGCTTTGACTCCAGAAACCATGTCTTTAAAATAATGGGTGATGTCTGTGCGTCCTTCAGTGTAGACGGATGGACAGATGGACAGATGTCTCTGCACCTCCACAGTTGCAGCAGTTGAAAGTGGCGCCCAGAGGGCGTTAGTTTAAACTGGTGACCGCGGCTGTCAGGAGGAAGACGTTGTCGCTCGGCGCCTGTCACAGATTTCAGTTTGTTGTGTCTTGTTCCTGCCAACAGCTTGCCTGCTTCTTTTCACTAATCTCCCCGTTCTGTATTACACTTCTGTTTGTTTGCTCTCTCCGTCTGTTTTTTATCAATTTCACACGGTCACATATTCATTTCACTGCCAAGAATTTCGTCGTGGATCTATTTATTTGCAGCCGTCTTTATTTAGAGCTCATTTTGATGTGGTGGTGTTGGTGCTATAGCTCTGAACTCTTCACTTCCTTTATCAACACTTTGTTCAAATCAAAGATTGTTCCAGCGCTCTGTCCTGCACAGACCGCACGCACTGCAACACCACACAGGAAATACATCTGAAGATGATGCCACATTAATTGCAACGTTCACCTGTTGACTCACTTGACCTGAAGCAAAGAGAACCTAAACCTGACGGACTAATGCTGCAAACAAATGAGATTTATGTGCAGAGGTCGACACACAAAAAGCTCAGAAGACTCCAGACATGGACTCTGCTCAGCGCTGGTTTTATTTTGAAAAGAACAGCAGGAGATCCACTCATCTTCAGAGCTTCTGTCAATCACTGGATCGATGGGATCGAGGACTGGTGGGTGTCTGGGCTCTTAATCGAGCTGTGTTCTTGTGTCTGTCCATTCATCCGTCTCTCAGGTGATTCTTAGACACCACTGATGAACTTTCGAGGGGTGAAGCATCTGTTCGCTGTGCTGCTGTTTGAAAGAGGACAGTTTTTGGCTCAGAGGGGGGAGTGTGGGTGGAAGGTCAAAGCTTTAATATAAATGTTTTATTTCTGTACCTGTGTGGAGCCCATGGATCTGAAGACTCCGTTTAATCTGCTCTACCACATGAAATACAACAAAATCATAGATGTACGTGGCCTGGTTGAAGACCTGTGATTCTGTGCCACAAATTTGTTCAACCACTCAGGGAGGGGAATGTGCGACTCCTCTACGATAGGTGGAGATATGCCCCCTTTCAGCTTGTTAGTATTGGACCTTTTTCCTGTTGACCTATTACGTCACAGACCAAACAATGGACAAACAAGTTAGCTACGGTTAGCTAGCAGCTAACTGCTACCATGGTGGACAACTTTACAGCTCTGTATTGAGGAGACACGACATGAACTGTGGTCATACGGTCACCAAGAATCCAAGATGGCAACGGCCAAAATGTTGAACTCGAGGCTTCAAAACAGACGTGCACAAACCAGTGAGTGAAGTTACAGTAGCTATGTCCTGTGACCCTCCCCCCGTGATCAAAGCCCCCCAGGCTCCAGTCCCTCACATGAAGCTGGTTCTCCGTTCTTGAATTGGACGTCTCTTTGACTGGATAGTGAAAACATTCAATCACTGCCAGGTTAGGAAACATGTTAGCATGCTCCTTCCACCACCATCAAACCTCCAAAGGATCTGCACTCCATGTAGGCTGCCACCTCATCCTCGGGCTGCAAAGTGTCATGGCTGGAGTCCTCCATGTCGGTGACCAATGTGACCACAGGGTCAAAGGTTACACTGGTGTCACTGACTTTCAAAATAAAAGCAACTGTCGAAATATGACATATATACTGCACATCTGTTTACTGCGTCTTATTCTGAAAAATAAAAGATTGATTTTTGTTCTCACCTGCTGCCCGCCCACGAACAACAGAGTTCAGTTTTACCCGTCAGTTTATATATATAAATATTTTACCCATTACACAGCTTTTTGTGGGTTACAAAATGTTACAGAACGAATGTTTGACACATATAATACATAAATAAAATTATAGGGAGCAGCATTAGCAAAATATGCTGAAACATAGAGCTGTAGTTTGCTCAGCTAGAAAATGTCAGTAGTCTTAATTTTCCAAATACAATATCAGGGACATCAAGGCTGTAGAAAATTTCAGCTTAAAAAGAGAAATGAGATTTAATAGACCAGACAGTTGTATGAAATGAGTGTTATGCCTTGGGTCCAACTCTGCAGAGACTGACAGTTCCTTCCAGTCTTTAAATGACATTGATCGGCCTGATCACACAGAAATTTAAAGTAAAACTGTTTCAGACCTTTAAAGAATTCACTCTCTTCCACAGTATGTGAAGCTGATGAACTTTGAGGAGGAGATCCGGGCTCACCGGGACCTGGATGGCTTCCTGGCGAGGGCCAGCATCCTGCTGGATGAGACGGCGGCCTCCCTGGACGATGTTCTGAAGAGGATGCTGCACCACGTGGGCCAGGACAGCCACACAGCCGAGCCCAGCTGCAACTTCGAGGAGGTGATGAGCATGCTTTTCACAGACGCAGGAGCTCAGGAGGTTAACGGTAAGCAGCCAACCCGTCGACGTGCACGCATAAAACCAGGGAAACTGTTTGAAGATACAGTCACACACTCTCAGAGCACAGTAAGACAGAGAAGTTGAACCATCTGTGTCGGCACACATTCAAAGCAAGACCCCGTAACATCTGACACCTGACCTGAAAACATGTGACGGCTGCACATGTCAACACCTACCTGAAGAATAGCTTCACCTCGGGCTCGGCAGCAGGATTGTCAGATAGACTTGAGAATGGTTCAAGAAGCTTTTAAGACCCAGAGGAGAGTTTGTGATGTTTGAGTCGAGGTTGTCCATTTGCCCCGCGGCTTTCTCAAGTGGACACAAATAGAGCTTGATGTGCTGAATCCAGTTGGCAGCCATTTACATGTGCAGACATCAAACGTTTCCCAGGAAGCCTGTCGCATGGTTTTCCTACACATTAATGCACAACATGCAAGCAACACAGCTGATGATCCAGATGAACAGAATCCTCTGTTATTTGTCAGATTATTGAAAATGTTTTTAAGATGTTTGGTTTATTCTTTTCAGCAGTGAGAAAACAACAGGAAGCCATTTTTCTTCTTCACTAACATCTTTAAACTCCACAGAATCGCTCCATCAGTGCATGTGTTGGTATTATTGTTGCTGTGATGTCATTTCTTGGAGTATCTTCAATTAATTCATATCCCTATGATCTGCACAACCTCAGCTAAAGAATTATGTGAGTTAAAAAAACAGAATGATTTATAAATGTATTTTTGTCATAAATTTGAAAAATACAAAAATCGGACATTTTTTCTAAACTAAACACACAAAACATTTTGGTCCCACAGATTTGCAACTGCAGAAATATGATCAAAATATTTCTTAACCCTCTATAAGTTATTTGAACTACGAACATTATTCACTTTTTGAGATATGAGATATTATGAGCAGAGTGAAAAGGTGTCGTTATAGTTTGATCTGCAGTAGAAATATCTCCTCAGTGCCTACACTGGTAGTTTTTGGTATTTTGTATCCCGAAAATCTGAACAACCTGAAAGCTAAAAGATTATATAAGTCAGTAAACCAGGGTAAGTGATGAAATGAAATATAAAACATAATAAAGGATACAGATTTACAATAAAAGAGTGAAGAGAAAAAAAGACAGAAGGTAAAATTAATAACTAAATTATTTACTCTTCTTTTTTCAAATCACAATTAGAATTGGTAAAAGTTCAGACAAGAGATGCAAAGATAACAATGTAAATTTTAAATAATTTTAAATTAAGTTTAAAAATATTTTAATTTCAAAATATTGAAATTTGTTACATATATATATAAAAAAAAAAAAAAATACAACACGTATTCTTATAAACCTGCCTCTGCTCCTCTGGCACCACGGCACATTTTCACTGTCTTTTAGACCGCTTGTAGCGTAACGTGATGACTTCATCACAAGGGGACAACGTGATGGTGAAAGACCGGAGTCGTAGCTTCCTGCTGCAAAAAAACCCACTCTAGCTCGTATAGTTTTTATTTTAGATCAGTTTTAAACATGATCATGTAAACAACAATCTCCCGTAGCCAAGACAATCAAATACTGAGGCATCACCACACGTTTTCACCATCTTTGAACCGCATGTTGCATCATGTAATGACATCATTGCACAGGGACAACATGGTGGCACAAAAGACAGACGTAGCTTTCTGCTGCTGCTGCTGCAAAAAAGAACACTCTAGCTATTGCAGTTTTTATTTTAGATTGATTTTAAAAGGATCATGTACACAACAATCTTCTGCAGCCGTGACAGGACAACACTGTGGTGTCACTGTGTGTTTTGGACAGCTTGTAGCATAACGTAATGACATCATTGCACATGGACAATGTGTTGGCATGAAGGATGGCAGTGTCAGCTTCCTGCTGCAAACAGAATAAATACTCGAGCTTTTGTAGTTTTTATTTCAGATCAGTTTTTAACAGGATCATAAAAACAACAAACCCCTGCAGCTGCCCAGGGGACGCCTGTTTTCAGAGGGTTTAAATCAGTTACAAGTTTCAGTTTTCAAAATGTAAAATGAATTGATTTGAGGAGATTGCCTGGAGCTGAAATGATATAAATTTTTACTAAAAAAGTTTTGCTAACGCAGTTATACATATTAATCTTCCTGTTTGCTGAAACCCTGAGATTTATTGTCCCTGAGAGTGTGAGATGTGCTCAAAGTTTAATCAAACACCTTCCTCTCCTCTAACGCATCAGACTCATTTCCAGAGCAGGGCACAGCTTCTGCAGGTTTGTGAGCTTACAGATCACTGTCACATTAGCTCAGCCCCTTCAGCACAGGTCCTTTTGGCTGAGTAGCAAAGCCTCTTGGTTAAGGCGAATCTCCTCAGCCCATTAGAGCAGGAGAAATCCGCCCTCTTACATAACAGTATGGAGCCATTGTTGAAGCCTCGCTCTGCCCGAGCTGCTCCCAACGCTGCCTCACCAAAGTCATTATTAGGCAAATCAAACTTTCATTTATTTTTTTGTTAACGTCATAAAGAAGTAAAGAAATATATAATATTTTTCATCCCGGCTGTTTGCTGTTTGCTGCAGGTTTAGAGATGTTGCAGTGAAACATGAGCAGGGTGTTTCCTCCCTCTACAGGAGCATGTGGAGGTAACGGCAGCGTCGGCGCTGCCTGTCATATTCTCTGTCTCCAGTGTTTTGCTGTCTGGCTGTGCTGGTGTCCGCAGTTGTTGATGGTTAGTCAGAGGTGGGTGGTGTGTGACGCTCGCCCTGCACAGCCGCCTCTGACAGATTGGCGAGGTGATAATTGACTTCTGTCATCGATCACTCACTTAGCTTTTCAAATGGCTCTCTGAGACTCTCAAGCTGTGGTGGCTGCGGCTACTTGACTGTTTCTCTCCCAGAATGCCCCACTCCCAGGCAACACAAGAGGCTTTGTTTTTTCTCTGTGGCTGCCATCTTAACAGAAAGGCTTCCTGAGCAGGTCCAGGCTGTCTGCACACGTTTGGAAAATCAATCTGAGCATTCAGAGGTTTCACTGAATTTCAAAACTGGAAAAATACAGAAAAAAATGTGACACTTTATTATGTAAAAAAGAATCTACAGCCACAGAGCGACAGTTATAGTTGGTTAATAAAACCAATAACAAGCTTAATAATATTATTCCAGACGCAGCCCAGTGCCTCAGTGAAAATCACATGTTCATCATTTTTATTTATTCAATTTTTCTGTGAAAATGAAATGCAAAAATTACCATTCTTACTAAAATCATTGTGTGTGTGTGTGTGTGTGTGTGTGTGTGGGGGGGGGCAACAGCCTGATTTTAAAAAAAAAATAACATTTTTTTAAAAATTATAATTAATTAGTGTCACAGCTCAACTAAAATTCGCTGAATAAATCAGTTGAAAAACTGATCTTTGTGTGAAAACAATAGTAGAAGCTCTCTGAGGCCCCTCGGACCCCTAAGGGACTGTTGGTCATTTACGGGGGGGGGGGGGGGGGGTTTTGTTTTTATTTTACTGATGATTTTTTGAAGAAAACATGCCCTTCAAATTTTTGTGCTAAATTTCAGCAGTGTTCGCCAACATTTAAAGAAAACCAATTCTGGTGATTTGTCTTTTGGTCCTGTACAATTCTGGTAAAGTGCTGGAAACATCATCAAGTCCAAACTGGTAGAAACAGATTAGACCCCGGTCTGATAGACTGAAAGCTCAGCTATAGAGTGAAAAAACACTGCAGAGATGTACGTGTGCGGAAATCTTCTACCAAATTTTGCTGCTAAATTTCGATGATTTTTAAAGAAAACATGACTTCCACATTTTGGCAATTTGCTTTCCAAATTTTGCAGATTTTAGGACTATATTTTGGTGATTTTTAAAGTCTTTGAACAGAAAGTCCCACACACTGCTCAGCTTCACAGTTTATTATTAACACTAACGTTTCGGTCCTGGATCTCCTCAGAGTGTTCAGCACCATTATTTCCAACACTGAGCTTAAACAGAAACTGCTCCACCCATTTCACAGGTGTGCACAGGTATGAGGTACGGAGCTCGAGTTTTCTAGGTTTTCCTGTGTTGTTCTTGTTCCCTTTTCCTTTCGTTTGTGGAACATGTGAGAAATGGTGCACAGGCTGTTTTCAGTTATTGAGAAACACACCCACACCTGTGCACACCTGTGAAATGGGTGGAGCAGTTTCTGTTTAAGCTCAGTGTTGAACACTCCAGATCCAGAAAGGAAGATCCCGTAGGACCAACACAATACTAATAAATTGTGAGGCTGAGCGAGAGCAGTGTGCAAGATTCTGTTCAAAGACTCAGGTGATGTTTTCCAACACACCTGCATCTGAGACAGGTGGATGTGAATACCTGTCTTCAAACTAGGTGTTTTTTAAAGGGCATGTGGTTGTTTGGAGGTTTCCTTTAAAGATCACTGAAATTAAACCATTTTTAAAAACAGAAATTATTGTTGGATTTTCAAATCTCAACGGTCCTTGGAGACGTCATGCAGCCTCCATCAGAAAAAAAAAACATAACTGAATCCAGGATTTCATCTTCAACTTTTAGCTTTCAAACATCAAAGTGTAAGTTTTAAAAATCTAATAAGTTATTTATGGTGGAGGGAGGGTCATGGATTTTCCTCCAGTCACTCAGGGAGGGTCAAGGGGAAATATCTGGAGCTTCAGGGAGGGTCACACCTCAGCCTCCTCCCTCCTCTGATAAATAAAGAGACTATTGTTTAGTCCCCCTGAACTAGGGTTTGTGTCTAAACACAGACAGAGCTGAGTGAGTGTCTGCTGCTGGAGCACCAGCGTACACTGTCATGTCTTCACCCAACAGTGCCCAACCTTGTTATGAAGGATTTTGTTGCTATTCATGACAAAATGGAAATTTTGAACTGTTTTAATGAGCATTTTGTGGCTACTGGCTCCCTGTTTGACTCTGCTTGCAGTGCGTCTGTGAAACCCAGTACTGATGTGTCTGTCTGTGTTGGTCAGTCTTTTAACTTTGTGCCTTTC